AACAGTAAATTGATAGAAAATGTATGGTTGAAAAATAAAGAAAAGTTTTGGGTTTACCTGTAATATTATTTTATTTAAGAATGTGTGGTTGAAAAGAAAATAGAGAAAAATATATTTTAAAAATAATGTGGATAAAAAAAGGGGTTAAATAAGTATATCTAGTATGCCCTTGTTTGGTTCCCATTAATGAGATTTTGGAAATAATGTATTTTGGAATAGCAATTTTGGGAGAATGGTAATATTATTTTATTGGAGAATATGTGGTTGAAAAGAAAAAAAATAAAAATATACTAAAATTTTAATAGAGACCAAATAAGGCATATAAAGGCTAGTGAAAATTTAGCTGATCCATCGACTAAACCTCTAGAAGAGAATTAGTAAGATCAAAATTGAGAAGGATATAGTTGAAACTCTTTGATTAAAAATTCACCAATGATGACAATTATATCTAACTATACTAAATAAATGCATCTAGGTTCAAAGGGTAAAAACAAGTCATTTGATAAGTGGATAGTTTCAGCACTAAATCTATCCTTGATAAGTAATGCTGGTTGTTAAAGTTGGAGGGTAGAGTTAAAACAATTCTTGAAGTTCATTATGGGGTACAAGTATATCTAAAAGTAATAAATATAATGGAAGAACTTCACCTATGTTAATTTCGAGGTTTTGCCGCCTTAATAGAGAGTTGGAGATTTTCTCTTAAAGTTCAATGAATAGGATAAGAAGAAGACCACAATATCGCTAAACGAGTTTGATGAACTTATGAAAACATAACTTGTGTGTGTGCTTATCACAAGAAATAACGGTTCAAAGCTATCACGCTAACTGAAATTTTGATGATACTTTGTAAGTAATTACGTTATAGTTAGATTCAAATAGAAAGATATTTAAACCTTATGCATAAGTGTTGTTAGTTTGAATTTGTGATCAATATAATTTTGAATAAGCGAGGAAATGTTTTAATTGTTCAATAATTATATTGAGCGTAATAAATGGATCACATAAAAGAAATTGGGCCCAAGAATTTTGTGAACTGGCAAAGAAGAAATGTTTTGCCCATGCGTGAGGTTAAAAATTAGCCGTTAGGCTGGCTTCAAATTTGATTACTGGTGTTGTTTCAATGAAAAGTTTCCAACTTTTTATGAGATGTTTTGACTTGTTCATGGTGTATGCAAGGAAATCTATAAATAAGTGATATTTTCATTTTCAAACACAAGAAAAACCTAATTTGAGTTGCTCCAATTTATCAAAGTACAAATTCAAATTCCTTAAGTTTTTTCATTAAGGGGTCCGTTTGATTGCAAGAGTGAAATTTGGGTGTAAATAAAATGAATTCAAGGGAATTGAATTGCCTAAAATTATTTTCCTGAGAATTGTCAATTAATTGTGTTTGATTAGTATAATTTTCACGTGGAAAATATTGAAATTTTGGATTTTTTTATACTTGTTTGACTTTATTTTACATGAAAATTGTTCATCAAAAGGATAAAATTTGTTACAATTGGGGATAGAATTTGTTTCCATCGCCAATTTTTTTATTTATTTATAAAAAGGTAAACTGTGGTAGGAATTGATTTTCCTCAAAATCAATTAATTCCCACCGTGTGAGCCACAACCAAGAAAATGAATTGCCAAGAAAATGAAACCAATCAAACAAGCCAAAACCAAGAAAAGGGAAATCAATTTCCAAGTTCCATGGAATTATGGGAACATGGGCGGACCTAGGGGGGGTCCTCGGGG